TGGTTCTACTGAACTCTTCGTCTGGCTGAGATCGCAGTTTTGTTCAATACGTTTTAGGTAAGTTTATAAAGAGTTTTACAAAAAGATGACCTGAAACAGAAAGGTTAGAAAGTTTCTCTCAGAAGTGAAAAATAAATTCTGAAGTCTTTTATTCATGCTTGGGGACATTTCGTCCAAACAGACATTCAAATATACGATTGTTATTTTGTATCCAAAAAACAGAAGAAAATAGGACAAAATTATTCAACAGGATTGAAAATCTTTTTTAAAAGTTTGAGAAAACCACTAGATCAGGGGAAAAAAGCCTCTTCTTCCTCTTTTCTTGCCACCATAGCTCAGTGGTTTTGTGTTTTTCTAATGGTGTGAGTATTTCTGACAGCCCCGTATCACAGCTCAATGTGAAATAGCCACAATAAACTGGCTTCATCACAGTGAAATCACACACACATGAAAGCATCACACACACCGACAGCATCCTTTGTCATCATTACTGATGGGACCTGTTCAACAGTGTGAAGGACTGGTGTACATATTTACTGAACGGCAGCCAAAACAGTGGAAGAAGTTCACTAATCAGAAATGTCAGATAATGTAAAACACAATAAATCAGTAACTGTGGGGTTGTTGTTAAAAACAGTTTAAATGTCAGGTTAAACTTTCAAAAATCTATAAAAGGTCTGCAGGGCAGTGGATCTGTGTCTTTTCGTGGTCTGACACTTGAATACTGAGCTGCTGTGCTTCACCTTTGCAGTAACACCACATCCAGCTGATCGTGGAACATCAAAGAGGACTTGTTGCAGTGGTTTCAACCTGTCACAGCATCCGAGCTGAATTCTCAGCTGCTTTACTCACTGATCACAAATCACTCATTGGTTCAAAGTAGAGCAGTTACAGAAGCATCCAGCAGAGGGCAGCAGATGAGGGGGGAGTCACAGACACAGGATCCACACATTTATAAACATGGTCCTATTATCAGCTCTCAAATTTTGAGCAAGACTCCAAAGATTTTCTTCAACGTCAAAGTGTTAATGTCAATGTCTTCAATGAATCTGAGGCGACTGGTGCATAAGCGGTTAAAGTGGAATTAAAATAACTGCCTAAAACTGCAGAGGTGCTCGCTGAGGCCAGAAATGGTCTCAGAGGAAGAAGAAGCCGTTCTTCAGGAAGGGAATCGGGGAGAAGAGGCTGAGATATCCCACAATCCACCATCTAATACCATCTGGAAAGAGCCTGCTTGGCAACAGCTTCGTTTTTCAGCAGTGATCCCAAACGCACAGCCAGTGCAGTGAAAGCATGGATAGAAAACACTATCATAGGATTGGCCTCCACTCAACAGTGTGGGATCATCATGATAAAGAAAGGCTGCCAACATCCAAAGAAAAGCTTCAAGAAGCCTGTTACTGAAGACTGTGGTGGAGATTATGTCACACATGTGTTCATTTTCCTAGTGCGATATAAAGGGATGAAGATTCAGCCCTGCAGAGCCGATGGTACTTCAGTCACACATGAATTATAGTTTTTGTGTGCTGACAGTAAAGGTAACAGTGCTGCACACACACACACACACACATGGACTAATTCCCAATAAGCCAATCAGAGCTGCCCGTTAAAGGCTGCTGTGTGTTATTAAGGCTACACTGCTGACTCAGGAGGATCAGAGGAAAACCAGCACGGCTCTTTCTAATCTGCTCTTCCTCACTTTTCACTACTGCATTCACTACTTTCACACCACTCATCCTCAGACTCTTTCTGTCCCCTTTTCCTCCACCATATTTCATCCTTCTCTTTATTTCCTCCTTCCTGTAATGCTGTTATACATTCTTCTGTTTCTCATTTAGCCGTTTCTTTCCTTTCTAATCGCTTCATTGATTAACTCCTCCTTCTGTGACACATTTCACTTCTTCTCCTTCTTTCCTAGCTTCCTGTTTGTCTAACTTGAACTCCTTCACTTTTACATGCTGTTTTACGTCTTTGCTCAACACTGAAACAAATATTAAAGTTGTCGAGGTAGAGTTGTATATTTTCATGTGTAAGCACATGGTAGTAGTTTCATTCCCCACGTCTGAGTGCAGGCGTACGTAAGACACACAGTATCATCCCTCCTCTAATCTCTTTATCCTGGTCAGGGTGACTGAGGAGACTCGTCTGCTGGACCCTCCGAACGCTCCAGTCCTTCCATCCCTCCGTCCCTTTTCTCCTTTTTCCCTCTAGACTCTAAACCAGTGAGGATTTAAAGGGTCCCAGCTTCCACAGGAGTGCGTTTATGGGAGGTTACTCCTCTGTTTCCATGGAGATGAGTTTGATGGGCTGCTGGTGGATCTAGGCCACATAACCACGGGTGTTGGATTATCAGCTGGTGAGTAAGGAGATAATGGACTGAGGGTAGAAGGCCGCACATTATGCAAGACATTTTTTAAACATCATACACGTTTTCGTTCAATAGAATTGATAACAATAAATATGGAAACGTGAGGGAACAATGTAGGTTGTGTTGATAGTGGATATGTTGTATATTCACGTGTGTGTGCTCTTAATTTACCTGTTGCTTTTGTTTAAACTCTTGGTGACCCCACACTACAGCACAAAAACCTGCGTGTTACCAAAGGGTCTTTATTGACCTGAATCTTCATAAAACGTTACTAATCAGTTCTTAAGAAAGAACCGGTAATAATCTCTAATAAAAACAGTTTATGTTCCCGGGTTCAGGTCCATAAAGCAGCCAGTTTGGCTCCTAGTTAGCCACACATGGCCTACTTAGATGATAAGGTGTCAACAACAAAATCTGTCTTACCCTTATATTGCAAAATATGGCTCATACAGGTGTTGGCACTGCCTCAAAAATGCCATTGAGCTGCCAGCTTTGGATCCTGTGTAGGTCCTATGTGGTCCGACCAGTTAGGGCCAAACAACGCCTGGTAATGAAACGTCTTTCTAAAAACATCCTTTCCACCCGGGTCTCCTTTAGTCTCATAGTCTTTGTAAAGCTCTAACTGTTAGTAGTTATTCATGAAAAGAATGTTTAATAAGCTAAAATAAGACAATTTCGTGTTGTTTAAATACAATTATTTTAATACCATTTTGGGTCACAGAAAATTTGTCAGACAACTAACTTTGTGCTGCAAACATGGTGCAGCGGGCCTACTAAATGTGGATCACAGAGGGATGCCAGAGGCTAATCAGTTCGGGTACCAATGACCACGTTATTGTCAGGTCTAAAGTTTTTGCAAGGCTTGTCTTTCTTTAGGCCCAGGAAGATTTTTAACATCAGCACTGAACAGCTGGGAAAGCAAACTTGTAATGATGTTGCATAAAGACAGTATTTTATGACATCGTGGTACCCGGTTGGACACATCCAAGTGTTCAAATAAAATGCCATCATGCTAAACTCACTGTGGATATGTCCTGACTGTATGACATTCTGTGTTGCAAAGGTTTCACCAAAATTCATTTTTTCTCCCTTTCTGGACAAAAAATAGCCAAAAGAAGAACATCTCCATGGCCAAGGTAGCACCGTTACTCCCACACCAAGTCTCCAGATTAACTCCACCCTCCATAGTTCTACAAGATATGGACGAGGAGCCAGGTGAAGTCGGTGCGCAGGACAGGTGAGTATCATACAAATGCAACTCAAAAACTGTAATGAAAGTGATGATTGTGAGCCACCTGTGAAGTGTAGTTCAAGTGTGGCTCAGTGGGTCCTCGAAGAGGTTTTCGAATGGGTTTAAAATGATTCAGGGCCTCTTGCTAAATCTGTGTAGGCCATAGGACAGCAGGTTCATGGACTTATCAGGCTTGGGTACCAGCCAATGGCCTACCAGAGTTATATCCAAACAAACAACAAATAGTAACCCGAAAGACATTTGGACCAAAAATGTATTCACAGACAAATTTTCCAACAGGTTCTGGAGTCCTTTAGAGGATTTAGGTGCCCGTGGGCCTCGTGAAGAGACCCTAATGGACCTTTATCGTGATTCAGAGACCATTAGCAGCTGCTGCAGTGTCTAAAGTTAAAGTTTCATAATTTCTTGAAGAATGACACCAGTTAGTGGCAACTGTTCAGGGTTATTGATGGATGGGAAGGTTAACGGATCGTTTTCTTTGTTTCAGAGCCTCCCAAAAAGCTGGACCGGGGTTTCTCTTCAACGTCAATAACAGCAACAACAATGAAGAAGAGTAAGACACGCACACAGACTAAATACACGTACATGTAAAATGTATTGGCATATATAAACTTATCTCTTCACCTAAAACTAGACGTGTAGTTTTACGGTTACATGTATGTATCCTGCTTTCCTGCAGGGAGGAGAAGAAGAAAAAGAAGAAGGAGAAGAAAGAAAGGAAAGAGAAAAAAGAGAAAAAGGAGTAAATTTGAGTCCATATCCAGATATATAGATTTTCACATAAATCTCAATATATTTCAGCTTTAATGAACACTGAAAACTGCTTATTTGTAATTATCTCTCCTAGGAAAGAAAAAAAGGAGAAAAAAGAGAAGAAGGAGAAAAAGCAGAAAGAGAAAGAAGAAAAAGAAAAGGAGAAGGAGAAAGAGAAGGAGAAAGCCAAGGAGGCCCCGTATGTTTAGTTGATCTTCTTAAACAGAAACACTGGCTCTGTCTTGAAAAACTGATTTTATGAATGCTTGTGTAAGGCTGAAGTACTGCAAATACAAATTATAATGGGTTATGTGTTTGCAGTCCCAAGGAGATCACAGTGATTGATCCTGCAGGAAACATGTACTACTACTGGCTGGGTGTGATCACTATCCCTGTCATGTACAACTGGACCCTGATTATAGCCAGGTAACATGAAATCCACACTTCCTTACTAACAATGTGTTTGTGTCAGTGCTCTAAAGGCTTTGGTGCCCACAGCATCAGAAGAACAACAGCTTAATATCAACAACAAGTTCCCAATGCCATTAAATAAAAGCCAACAGTGCCAGAGAGCTTGGTTACTTAAGTAACTACTGTGCTGAGTGACATGCATGTCCATTTCAGGGCATGTTTCGAGGAGTTGCAGACTGACTACTTGATCTTTTGGTTCCTCCTGGACTTCCTGGCAGATCTCATCTACCTTGGTGACATGGTCTTCAGAACTAGGACCGGTCTGAAGACACACACACAGATTGTTGTAGACGTTAATGTAAGCACACAAATATAATGGTACAAACATGTACAAACTTTGAATGCTTGTTTATGTGATTGCAGGTTACCTGGAGCAGGGTTTGCTGGTGAAGGACGAGCTGAAGTTACGTGAACGGTACATGAAAAGCTTTCAGTTCAGACTGGACCTGGTGTCCATGATTCCCACTGACGTGTTCTACCTTGCCATCGGCGTCACCTACCCCGAGATCCGCCTCAACAAGCTCTTCAGGTTTAACAGGTAAACAAGGGTTAATCACTGCTAACCAGTCTTTGGACTAAGTAGGAAGATATTTTTGAATTCCATGAATTTATGAACAACATTTCTTTACAGTTTAACTAAAAGTTGTTGTGATGTTTAACTCAAAGGTACAAATGTGAATTTTATCCTTTTCCTAAAAGTCAGAGATTTGATGATAAAATGAATAAGACTGATTTTCTAAGGATACTGAATACACACATAATGTCACAGAGGTTTTGGACTGTCTAACCCTCACTACTGCTATTCTGCAAACATAACTAATAACTTCTCAGCAGTGACAAGAGTAACCTCCTATCATTTCAGGATGATGGAGTTCTTCCAGCGCACAGAAACCAGGACAAACTACCCCAACGCTCTGCGTATCTCCAACCTCGTCATGTACATCCTCATCATCATCCACTGGAATGCCTGTCTTTACTACTCTTTTTCCAAAGCCATCGGTGGGGTTGTTGGATTCATTCCTTATCTGGATTTAAGCCCCGAGGAAGCCCTGATAAAGGCTGTAACATATTAATCTGTCCTGTCCTTTCAGGTTTCGGTTCTGACAGGTTTGTGTACCCTGACCCGACCGATCCAGAGTTCGGTCGTCTGGTGAGGAAGTATGCCTACAGTATGTACTGGTCCACGTTAACACTCACCACCATTGGAGAAACACCACCACCTGTAGAGAACTCTGAGTACTTCTTCGTCGTCACAGACTTTCTGGTGGGTCCGGCCTAACTTTAGCTTTAGTATATGACGGTGTAGCATGTGGCTAAAAAAGCCCAAGCCTGAGAGCAGACGCGTTGTGAGGGATTTACCTCAAGAGGTTTGGTTGGTTTTGAAAGCTTAAACAGACAGATGGTAAGATGTTAGGCATAATTTGACAATATTTGTTTACTGATACAATACAGAGATTATAAAATAGAAAAATCTGCGTTTGCTTTCATATTATTTATTTAATACTATATAAAACAACAATAAATAGATGTTTATGGATATCCTGTGCTTTTCTACAGGTGGGTGTGTTGATCTTTGCTACCATTGTCGGTAACGTTGGCTCCATGATCACCAACATGAATGCTGCCAGAGCTGACTTTCAGGCTCGCATTGATGCCATCAAACAGTACATGAGTTTCCGAAAGGTCAGTTAGTCTGTGATTTTTATCATAATGGTTAACAGGTCGTCAGAGGAGCCGAGATGATGATTAAGTTTAACATTTTCTACAATATTGACAAAGCACTTTAAGCACAAGATTGTTAGTTAATAATTTAGAAATGAATATTGTCTGTATGGACTTCCCCCCCAAAGAAAGTGCACATGTAAAACTGCGGTGTTAAGCGATGCGGTTGAAAAATTTGAGTGCGCCTAACTTTTGTGCCGGTACGCCTAAATTTTTAAAGTTAGGCGTACCAGTGCGCCCATGTCAAAAGTTAGTCTAGAGCCCTGAGATTGATATCAAACTGATCACTTGACCCATATTACGTTACTTGCTCTTCAAGTGAATCAACAAATGGCGAAATGAAAAGCCGAACAACAACAATGCTGTTTCTTTAGAGTCTTAGCTTACATGTGTGTTTATTTCATATTTTCAGTTGTTTCCCTCCACGGCTAAATAAATCGGTTTCAGTAATGCACTGATATACAAGAATGGACATAAGGAGCTTCTTTCAAAGAAAAAACTCAGGTAGATGTTATTTTATATATTATGCTTTGTATGTTGTTCAGTATATTTCTATGCAAAACAAGAGGAATTTCAATACACAGCAGTATATTCACAGTTGAAACCAGATATTTACATACACTTTATGGAAAACACAAGAACATTTTTTTACTGTACAACATCAATTTAGAGTAAACTTGTTTTGTTTTGGATAAATAAATATTGAAATATCTTTTGAATTAGTTAAATGTCAGAATAAAGAGAGACAGAGCTGTCTATTTTATCACTTTCATCAAATTTAGGAGTACATATACACTAAGTTTATTGTTAATTAATAAGAAAACTCCAGACGATTCCATTCTGAGCTGAAGAAGCTTCTGATAGGTTAGTAGAGTCCATGTGAGTAAATTGGTGGCACAGCTGTGGATGCATATAAGGCAAAACACAGAGCCTGTTTCTGTGACATGGGAAAATCAAGAGATGTCAACCAAAACACCAGGAAAAGAACTGTGGAGCTCCATAAGTGTGGCTCAGTTTTGAATACAATTTGGTGCCATTTGCAATTAAGAAATACAGATAGTTTCTCTCTTTACTCTTAAAGTTAACAAATATGTTTTTTGGTTGAATTGGGGTTTAGTCCTCGTGTCTTGATACAGCCCTGATTTTGTTCTGCCTTGCTGCTTAATTAAAAAACTAGTTTAAGGTGTCCTGCATATGTGATATATATTTTTCCCTATATGAAGTCATTCTTTTTTAAACAAAACTCAAAACACGGCCTAACAAACCTTAAACTTCACAGCATGCTTTTTCAATCTTTTGTAATGATGATTAACTAACAATCTTGTGAACACAAAGTTCTTTATTTGGAGCACAGATCTACAAGAAAGATAAGTTACTGAAAAAGTGCTCGAGCTTAAAGTGCTTTGGCAATGTTAAACTTAATCATCATCTCGGCCTCCTCTGACGACCTGTTTGCTGCTACCTGCCGCTGAAAGGCAGTGAGGAGAGGGGACACTTGGGCAGTGCATTTATCACGACATATAATTTTGTTTTTGGATACGCAGTGCTTTTTCAGCGTTCAAAGCTTAATGGCTCCGTGTCAGAGCACTGGCTATGAATTTCAGACAGATCAGGCCTTAACTTAACGAAAAAGTGATCTTTTCATCCTTACCCAGAGCTACATCCACTTCTGTTGGGTGAGAATCGTTACTGATTTCTATAATCCATTCAATTCAGGTTCACAAGGTCCCGATGCGATTCGGTTCAATTTTAAAATCAGACAGTCAGAAGTATTATAGTTCTGATCATTTATCAGTACTGACACTGTGAGACTTCATCAGAGGTGTGAGCATCACAGCAGATGTCTTTGTGTCAAAGTAACTGAGGATAAAACAGAAAAACATGAAGGAGATTTTCCCTGACTTTTTATAGCAGATAACCTAAAAAATATTCAGCAGTAGAACAAAAACTGAAGAAAACAATGGAAACCTGATGCTGCTGAAGTAAAAGCTTTCTACTAAACATCTAAAATGCTCGGCTGTGCTTGATCATATATACTTTCAGATCAGTAAATATCCAAATGAAATGCTGTCAAAACAAGTCATCTATGTTTTATTATTCCCAGAAACACTCGTGTCCAAAATGACACCCTTCAGCTAACTGCTGTTTGGAATTCACATTGTTGGCGCAAAATATATTTTATGCTGTCAAACTGTTTCTCTGGCATTTTTCATAGATTTGACTAAAGAAATGAAAACAAATGATGTTTATGGAACATCCCTGTATTACGTCCTTATTTTATGCTTGAATGATTCACAGGCTAACGTTACACGACTTAAACTGCCATTAGTGTTATTATTTAATTTGTTCTAATCTTTATTTATCCTGGTTTTAAACTCTTTCCCTGCAGGCACACTGAAAATGGTGTTGGCTATTTTGCCTGGTAAGAGTACTGAGTGCAATGTTGTTTGATTAGTGTGTTATTAGTCAGTTATCGGAGACATTACAGAAAGTTTCCCAGATAAAAGTCGAGTGATACTCCTGATTCATTGCTAATCAGTATATGTTACAAACTCTCCATCGTCCAGCCCTACAAACAAGTCTCAGGTCCAGAGCACGCTCCACTGAGAAAAGCTGTTCTGTTATTTATTTCATGTGAAAATACAAATCATGAAGCCACTAATTCTTCAAACTCCAAGTCTAGATTTTGTCTCGCTTCTCTCAGGCTCAGCAAGCAGCAGCGCTTCGTCATGTGGTTTCTTTTCGTACGCTGCCGTGCTTAACTTAGAAAATGCTCCTTTTTTTATTTACAGCAATTATTTCTAGGCACCTTTTCGGGTGAAGCCATCCTGCTGCTTCTGTTCCCTCAGTGGTCCTGACCTCCGCCAACCTTCCTCTCCTCCTCAGGTATGTCACCTCCACCTGTGAGCTGCGAAATAAAAGACGAGACACGGGATTATTTATTCCTACAGTTCTTGGACAGTGACACCATTTTTGGGTTTTGTACATCGTTTAGATGAAACGTTAACATGTGACTGAAGTGCAAAGTTACAACTTTTATTTAAGGCGTTTACTTAAACTGTGACATGAGGCGTCTCTCATTGTCAGAGGCTCAGAAGTCACTGGATAGCTGACAGCAGTCTAATTCACCTGGTATGTCATGATACAGGCAGCAGGTAAAAACCCTTTGTACTTGTAGCTGTTCACTGTGATTTTAAACACCCACAGGTCATTTAATCTGGAACGCATCAGCCGGTGACTCAGTGAACTTGTAGCTTTGTTAGGGAAACCACAGCCTGTAAGCAGTTAACTGCAGCCAGCTTCTAAAAAACACCAGCTAATGTTCCCGCTCCTTTAAGGGTCAGAGGTTACAGCGGCCCACGCGCGCGCACACACACACTCGTTTTCATATCTTAGTGAGGACATCTCATTCACATAATGCTAACTGTAACCCTGCCAGTAAAACCACATTTTGAGCCTCAAAAATAACTTCAAACTCGTGCGGACAGACACGTTGTCCCCGTTAGTGACTGTTGGTCCCCACAAGTATGTTAGCATGACAATTTTCTCCCCCCGGAGCGCTTTTTCCTTACAAACGCGGCACTATGTAACGCGACAGGTTTCTTTTCTTCCACCAGAGAAATAAAAGAACACGTTTCCCGCCTGAGCTGAGTCTGACGTGTGTGTGTGTGACGGGGGGGCCGGGGCGCTGAACTTACCTGCGGCTCAGCGCGAGGATGCTCCGCTGAACTCGATGGATAGTGTATCCTTCCGCGGGGCTGTGAGGCTTCGGAGCGCGCGTGGAAGTTTGTGTCGATGACGAATTTAGCTACGTTAATGGCCTCGCGAGTTGGTCGTACCACGTGACTCATTTAAGAAACTGAAGATTAAAGACTTTTAATGGAAGGGCGGAGAATTAGAGCCGCGGTAATACAACTTATTTTAGGAATAACGTGGTTCTACTGAACTCTTCGTCTGGCTGAGATCGCAGTTTTGTTCAATACGTTTTAGGTAAGTTTATAAAGAGTTTTACAAAAAGATGACCTGAAACAGAAAGGTTAGAAAGTTTCTCTCAGAAGTGAAAAATAAATTCTGAAGTCTTTTATTCATGCTTGGGGACATTTCGTCCAAACAGACATTCAAATATACGATTGTTATTTTGTATCCAAAAAACAGAAGAAAATAGGACAAAATTATTCAACAGGATTGAAAATCTTTTTTAAAAGTTTGAGAAAACCACTAGATCAGGGGAAAAAAGCCTCTTTTTCCTCTTTTCTTGCACCATAGCTCAAGTGGTTTTTTGTGTTTTTCTAATGGTGTGAGTATTTCTGGACAGCCCGTATCACAGCTCAATGTGAAATAGCCACAATAAACTGGCTTCATCACAGTGAAATCACACACACATGAAAGCATCACACACACCGACAGCATCCTTTGTCATCATTACTGATGGGACCTGTTCAACAGTGTGAAGGACTGGTGTACATATTTACTGAACGGCAGCCAAAACAGTGGAAGAAGTTCACTAATCAGAAATGTCAGATAATGTAAAACACAATAAATCAGTAACTGTGGGGTTGTTGTTAAAAACAGTTTAAATGTCAGGTTAAACTTTCAAAAATCTATAAAAGGTCTGCAGGGCAGTGGATCTGTGTCTTTTCGTGGTCTGACACTTGAATACTGAGCTGCTGTGCTTCACCTTTGCAGTAACACCACATCCAGCTGATCGTGGAACATCAAAGAGGACTTGTTGCAGTGGTTTCAACCTGTCACAGCATCCGAGCTGAATTCTCAGCTGCTTTACTCACTGATCACAAATCATTCATTGGTTCAAAGTAGAGCAGTTACAGAAGCATCCAGCAGAGGGCAGCAGATGAGGGGGGAGTCACAGACACAGGATCCACACATTTATAAACATGGTCCTATTATCAGCTCTCAAATTTTGAGCAAGACTCCAAAGATTTTCTTCAACGTCAAAGTGTTAATGTCAATGTCTTCAATGAATCTGAGGCGACTGGTGCATAAGCGGTTAAAGTGGAATTAAAATAACTGCCTAAAACTGCAGAGGTGCTCGCTGAGGCCAGAAATGGTCTCAGAGGAAGAAGAAGCCGTTCTTCAGGAAGGGAATCGGGGAGAAGAGGCTGAGATATCCCACCATCCACCATCTAATACCATCTGGAAAGAGCCTGCTTGGCAACAGCTTCGTTTTTCAGCAGTGATCCCAAACGCACAGCCAGTGCAGTGAAAGCATGGATAGAAAACACTATCATAGGATTGGCCTCCACTCAACAGTGTGGGATCATCATGATAAAGAAAGGCTGCCAACATCCAAAGAAAAGCTTCAAGAAGCCTGTTACTGAAGACTGTGGTGGAGATTATGTCACACATGTGTTCATTTTCCTAGTGCGATATAAAGGGATGAAGATTCAGCCCTGCAGAGCCGATGGTACTTCAGTCACACATGAATTATAGTTTTTGTGTGCTGACAGTAAAGGTAACAGTGCTGCACACACACACACACACACATGGACTAATTCCCAATAAGCCAATCAGAGCTGCCCGTTAAAGGCTGCTGTGTGTTATTAAGGCTACACTGCTGACTCAGGAGGATCAGAGGAAAACCAGCACGGCTCTTTCTAATCTGCTCTTCCTCACTTTTCACTACTGCATTCACTACTTTCACACCACTCATCCTCAGACTCTTTCTGTCCCCTTTTCCTCCACCATATTTCATCCTTCTCTTTATTTCCTCCTTCCTGTAATGCTGTTATACATTCTTCTGTTTCTCATTTAGCCGTTTCTTTCCTTTCTAATCGCTTCATTGATTAACTCCTCCTTCTGTGACACATTTCACTTCTTCTCCTTCTTTCCTAGCTTCCTGTTTGTCTAACTTGAACTCCTTCACTTTTACATGCTGTTTTACGTCTTTGCTCAACACTGAAACAAATATTAAAGTTGTCGAGGTAGAGTTGTATATTTTCATGTGTAAGCACATGGTAGTAGTTTCATTCCCCACGTCTGAGTGCAGGCGTACGTAAGACACACAGTATCATCCCTCCTCTAATCTCTTTATCCTGGTCAGGGTGACTGAGGAGACTCGTCTGCTGGACCCTCCGAACGCTCCACTCCTTCCATCCCTCCGTCCCTTTTCTCCTTTTTCCCTCTAGACTCTAAACCAGTGAGGATTTAAAGGGTCCCAGCTTCCACAGGAGTGCGTTTATGGGAGGTTACTCCTCTGTTTCCATGGAGATGAGTTTGATGGGCTGCTGGTGGATCTAGGCCACATAACCACGGGTGTTGGATTATCAGCTGGTGAGTAAGGAGATAATGGACTGAGGGTAGAAGGCCGCACATTATGCAAGACATTTTTTAAACATCATACACGTTTTTGTTCAATAGAATTGATAACAATAAATATGGAAACGTGAGGGAACAATGTAGGTTGTGTTGATAGTGGATATGTTGTATACTCACGTGTGTGTGCTCTTAATTTACCTGTTGCTTTTGTTTAAACTCTTGGTGACCCCACACTACAGCACAAAAACCTGCGTGTTACCAAAGGGTCTTTATTGACCTGAATCTTCATAAAACGTTACTAATCAGTTCTTAAGAAAGAACCGGTAATAATCTCTAATAAAAACAGTTTATGTTCCCGGGTTCAGGTCCATAAAGCAGCCAGTTTGGCTCCTAGTTAGCCACACATGGCCTACTTAGATGATAAGGTGTCAACAACAAAATCTGTCTTACCCTTATATTGCAAAATATGGCTCATACAGTTTGGCACTGCCTCAAAAATGCCATTGAGCTGCCAGCTTTGGATCCTGTGTAGGTCCTATGTGGTCCGACCAGTTAGGGCCAAACAACGCCTGGTAATGAAACGTCTTTCTAAAAACATCCTTTCCACCCGGGTCTCCTTTAGTCTCATAGTCTTTGTAAAGCTCTAACCGTTAGTAGTTATTCATGAAAAGAATGTTTAATAAGCTAAAATAAGACAATTTCGTGTTGTTTAAATACAATTATTTTAATACCATTATGGGTCACAGAAAATTTGTCAGACAACTAACTTTGTGATGCAAACATGGTGCAGCGGGCCTACTAAATGTGGATCACAGAGGGATGCCAGAGGCTAATCAGTTCGGGTACCGATGACCACGTTATTGTCAGGTCTAAAGTTTTTGCAAGGCTTGTATTTCTTTAGGCCCAGGAAGATTTTTAACATCAGCACTGAACAGCTGGGAAAGCAAACTTGTAATGATGTTGCATAAAGACAGTATTTTATGACATCGTGGTACCCGGTTGGACACATCCAAGTGTTCAAATAAAATGCCATCATGCTAAACTCACTGTGGATATGTCCTGACTGTATGACATTCTGTGTTGCAAAGGTTTCACCAAAATTCATTTTTTCTCCCTTTCTGGACAAAAAATAGCCAAAAGAAGAACATCTCCATGGCCAAGGTAGCACCGTTACTCCCACACCAAGTCTCCAGATTAACTCCACCCTCCATAGTTCTACAAGATATGGACGAGGAGCCAGGTGAAGTCGGTGCGCAGGACAGGTGAGTATCATACAAATGCAACTCAAAAACTGTAATGAAAGTGATGATTGTGAGCCACCTGTGAAGTGTAGTTCAAGTGTGGCTCAGTGGGTCCTCGAAGAGGTTTTCGAATGGGTTTAAAATGATTCAGGGCCTCTTGCTAAATCTGTGTAGGCCATAGGACAGCAGGTTCATGGACTTATCAGGCTTGGGTACCAGCCAATGGCCTACCAGAGTTATATCCAAACAAACAACAAATAGTAACCCGAAAGACATTTGGACCAAAAATGTATTCACAGACAAATTTTCCAACAGGTTCTGGAGTCCTTTAGAGGATTTAGGTGCCCGTGGGCCTCGTGAAGAGACCCTAATGGACCTTTATCGTGATTCAGAGACCATTAGCAGCTGCTGTAGTGTCTAAAGTTAAAGTTTCATAATTTCTTGAAGAATGACACCAGTTAGTGGCAACTGTTCAGGGTTATTGATGGATGGGAAGGTTAACGGATCGTTTTCTTTGTTTCAGAGCCTCCCAAAAAGCTGGACCGGGGTTTCTCTTCAACGTCAATAACAGCAACAACAATGAAGAAGAGTAAGACACGCACACAGACTAAATACACGTACATGTAAAATGTATTGGCATATATAAACTTATCTCTTCACCTAAAACTAGACGTGTAGTTTTACGGTTACATGTATGTATCCTGCTTTCCTGCAGGGAGGAGAAGAAGAAAAAGAAGAAGGAGAAGAAAGAAAGGAAAGAGAAAAAAGAGAAAAAGGAGTAAATTTGAGTCCATATCCAGATATATAGATTTTCACATAAATCTCAATATATTTCAGCTTTAATGAACACTGAAAACTGCTTATTTGTAATTATCTCTCCTAGGAAAGAAAAAAAGGAGAAAAAAGAGAAGAAGGAGAAAAAGCAGAAAGAGAAAGAAGAAAAAGAAAAGGAGAAGGAGAAAGAGAAGGAGAAAGCCAAGGAGGCCCCGTATGTTTAGTTGATCTTCTTAAACAGAAACACTGGCTCTGTCTTGAAAAACTGATTTTATGAATGCTTGTGTAAGGCTGAAGTACTGCAAATACAAATTATAATGGGTTATGTGTTTGCAGTCCCAAGGAGATCACAGTGATTGATCCTGCAGGAAACATGTACTACTACTGGCTGGGTGTGATCACTATCCCTGTCATGTACAACTGGACCCTGATTATAGCCAGGTAACATGAAATCCACACTTCCTTACTAACAATGTGTTTGTGTCAGTGCTCTAAAGGCTTTGGTGCCCACAGCATCAGAAGAACAACAGCTTAATATCAACAACAAGTTCCCAATGCCATTAAATAAAAGCCAACAGTGCCAGAGAGCTTGGTTACTTAAGTAACTACTGTGCTGAGTGACATGCATGTCCATTTCAGGGCATGTTTCGAGGAGTTGCAGACTGACTACTTGATCTTTTGGTTCCTCCTGGACTTCCTGGCAGATCTCATCTACCTTGGTGACATGGTCTTCAGAACTAGGACCGGTCTGAAGACACACACACAGATTGTTGTAGACGTTAATGTAAGCACACAAATATAATGGTACAAACATGTACAAACTTTGAATGCTTGTTTATGTGATTGCAGGTTACCTGGAGCAGGGTTTGCTGGTGAAGGACGAGCTGAAGTTACGTGAACGGTACATGAAAAGCTTTCAGTTCAGACTGGACCTGGTGTCCATGATTCCCACTGACGTGTTCTACCTTGCCATCGGTGTCACCTACCCCGAGATCCGCCTCAACAAACTCTTCAGGTTTAACAGGTAAACAAGGGTTAATCACTGCTAACCAGTCTTTGGACTAAGTAGGAAGATATTTTTGAATTCCATGAATTTATGAACAACATTTCTTTACAGTTTAACTAAAAGTTGTTGTGATGTTTAACTCAAAGGTACAAATGTGAATTTTATCCTTTTCCTAAAAGTCAGATTTGATGATGAAATGAATAAGAATGACTTTCTAAGGATACTGAATACACACATAATGTCACAGAGGTTTTGGACTGTCTAACCCTCACTACTGCTATTCTGCAAACATAACTAATAACTTCTCAGCAGTGACAAGAGTAACCTCCTATCATTTCAGGATGATGGAGTTCTTCCAGCGCACAGAAACCAGGACAAACTACCCCAACGCTCTGCGTATCTCCAACCTCGTCATGTACATCCTCATCATCATCCACTGGAATGCCTGTCTTTACTACTCTTTTTCCAAAGCCATCGGTGGGGTTGTTGGATTCATTCCTTATCTGGATTTAAGCCCTGAGGAAGCCCTGATAAAGGCTGTAACATATTAATCTGTCCTGTCCTTTCAGGTTTCGGCTCTGACAGGTTTGTGTATCCTGACCCGACCGATCCAGAGTTCGGTCGTCTGGTGAGGAAGTATGCCTACAGTATGTACTGGTCCACGTTAACACTCACCACCATTGGAGAAACACCACCACCTGTAGAGAACTCTGAGTACTTCTTCGTCGTCACAGACTTCCTGGTGGGTCCGGCCTAACTTTAGCTTTAGTATATGACGGTGTAGCATGTGGCTAAAAAAGCCCAAGCCTGAGAGCAGACGCGTTGTGAGGGATTTACCTCAAGAGGTTTGGTTGGTTTTGAAAGCTTAAACAGACAGATGGTAAGATGTTAGGCATAATTTGACAATATTTCTTTACTGATACAATACAGAGATTATAAAATAGAAAAATCTGCGTTTGCTTTCATATTATTTATTTAATACTATATAAAACAACAATAAATAGATGTTTATGGATATCCTGTGCTTTTCTACAGGTGGGTGTGTTGATTTTTGCTACCATTGTCGGTAACGTTGGCTCCATGATCACCAACATGAATGCTGCCAGAGCTGACTTTCAGGCTCGCATTGATGCCATCAAACAGTACATGAGTTTCCGAAAGGTCAGTTAGTCTGTGATTTTTATCATAATGGTTCTTTAATAGTATTTGCATCTGAAATAAAATATTTTTTTACATAAATCTAATTGGAAAATCCCATTTGAGTTGCTTCAGCTTGTACATAACACCTGCTTCGCTTTTTTGTATTTTTTTAATGACAAAAACGACACTTACTTACCAGAAAACAGATACTGTATCAATGCACCTGATGATCAGTACACCAGTAATGTAGCCCATCAAAGCACTGCTTGAACCCTTCCCCCATACTTCTGTTTCCAACCCAGGTAACAAAAGACCTGGAGAAGCGAGTGATCAAGTGGTTTGACTTCCTGTGGACCAATAAGAAAGCAGTAGATGAGAGGGAAGTGTTGAAATACCTCCCTGACAAACTGAGAGCTGAGATCGCCATCAACGTCCACCTGGACACACTGAAGAAGGTCTTTGCACGCTCCTAAGCACCCCTCATAAATACAACAGAAATTTAAGTCTAAGCATGAGGTCTTCTCCTCTGTGTGGTGTGGCAGGTCCGTATCTTTGCGGATTGCGAGGCTGGTCTGTTGGTGGAACTGGTGCTAAAACTACAGCCTCAGGTCTACAGTCCTGGAGACTACATCTGTAAGAAGGGTGATATTGGCAGAGAGATGTACATCATCAAGGAGGGAAAACTAGCTGTCGTTGCTGACGACGGTGTCACGCAGTTTGTTGTTCTCAGCGACGGAAGCTACTTTGGCGAGATCAGCATTCTTGCTATCAAAGGTAAGTCTTACGACTTTATTAGCAAGCTAATCCTTTCGGTCACAATGGCAGTAACTAATGCTAGAATGATAATGTGCTAATGCTAGAATGATAATGTGCTAATGCTAGAATGATAATGTG